AATTGAAAATCTACATGTAAATATTCGGTATTATAATGCTCGATGTACGGGGCGGGTATTACCCATGGGTACTCGAAACCCATGGGTATGGGGATGGGTTTGCAAAACCTTCCCTGCATGGGTATGGGGCGGGTATGATTATAGATATTTGAAATCGGGGATGGGGATGGTTTAGGCAAACCCGCCCCATTGCCATCCCTAGTAGCAAAGTCCTTAATTATATTGTCATTAGAAGTATTTTCTTAATTATTAGTAGTTTGTGATTTTTGATGAAAACACTATTAAAAGTGAAGACCGTACCACAAATAAACAAATATTACTATAACTATTCGAAACACTACTAATAATTAACATAATATATCACCACACAATACAATAAAAATTACTACTAATGCATTTAAAAAAATAATACAATAATCACTGCTAATAAAAAGCAAACAGGGGAAAGTTTCCCCATTTAACAACATATGCTTGAGATTTCTTCAAGTATGCAAGAGAAGACGGTGTTTTGTGGAGTGTGTATCCGGCCAGCAAAGGGTGGATGGCGAAGAGGCGGAGGAGGGATGCGACGGCACGACGAAGATGAGGCCTGTACGCGTGAGGTCAAGGCACGCGTGCTAATTAAGGGCACGGCCAAGGCCAGGGCAGTCGAGCGGAACTACGGACGGAGATAGGAGTTGCATGGCCTCAGGTAGAGAGAAGACAGTTTCTGAGTTATTTGGGAGAGAGAGCGCAGGAGAGACGTGAGCTGTTGAGAGAGATGAGGTCGATTGATAAGAAAACAAGTATTTATATTAGGGTTTGAGAAAATATTGACTAAATTATCCTTTATTGAATTCTGACCTTAGGATTAGTTTATAATCTAATGTTTGTTAGTTTAGTTAGTATCGTGCTAACTCTAAAAGGAGTTAGCATCTAATCATATTCCGACACGAGGCCTTATGTCGCGTAGCAAGCTTGCCGATGTAGAGTTCTGCCTTTGATCAACGCCAACAAGTGGTTATAATAATTTTTCCCTGATTATTCCTGATAAATCGTAAACGAATAAAGTCCAACAGCAACAAAGACATCGCCTTTGCGATAGACAGAGTGAATGGTCAGCGGGAGATGAGCGAAACCCAATACCATTTAGTGACGATGTGAACTTTTGGTACCAATTTCGCGAAGCCTGGCGCAGACCATAGATAGACTTATGAAGATGACACACTCGAGAATCCCCTACAACAGCAAAACCCAGAGGGAACTTCATGTAAACCTCCTCAATCAAATCTCCATGAAGAAATGCATTATTTACATCAAGTTGATGTATGAACCACCCCCGACTAACTGCAACAGCAAGGAGACAGCGTACAGTGACTAGCTTAGCTACAGGTGCGAAGGTATCGTGAAAATCGACACCCTCAATCTGAGTATAACCCTTTGCCACTAACCGAGCTTTGTACCTTTCAACAGTGCCATACGGGTAGTACTTGATCTTGAAGACCCATTTTGCCTCAATGCAACGCTTCCTAGGAGGTAGTGTAACCAAACTCCACGTACCATTTGCAACTAAGGCTGCAATTTCTTTAGACATAGCCTCTCGCCAAACAGCATACTTGACCGCCTCCTTGAAAGACTTTGGCTCTGGAATAGTATCAACAGCAGCCAAAAACGTACAGTAGGAAGGCGTTAGTCTCCCATACGAGACATGATGCGACAACGGATATCCAACATGTGAGGGAGATTGAAGATCCATCTCGTAGATATCCACAAGGTGCTTAGGGGGACGACGATCCCTATCACTGCGACGCAAAGGGACAGGCACGTCGGCAGGAGGGACAAACACATCGACAGGCGGTGACGAAGAGGTAGCGCCTGGACTGCCCGATATGGACTCGAGTGAATGACAAGGACTGGGACTGGGTGACACCCTGTCCACTAGGGAGTTGACATCCACAGCTGGTGTGCGTGGGGAAGTAGTCTCTGCAGCCGGTGATGAGGGACTGGGAATAGCATGCTCGAGGGGACTAGGCATGGTAGAATCCCCTGAGCTGACGTGAACCTCATCAATGAACGTGTCTGGAGGAACCCAATAGAAATCCTAAGGGTCCTGCGCATGAAAAGGAAAATAATTCTCATGGAAAATCACGTCACGAGAGATTATTACCTTATGTGCAAGAAGATCATATATCTTATAACTCTTCTATGTAGCCGCATAACCAAGAAAGACTCCAGCTCGCCCTCGATCAGCAAATTTATGTAGATCACCATGGTTATCCTTGGCGTAGACAAGACAGCCAAATACTCGAAGATGGGTATATGAAGCAGCACGACTAAACAACACCTCCAAAGGTGTTTTCCCTGTCGTAGTGGTAGGCAGTCTGTTGATCAAGTATGTGGCAGTGAGAACACATTCGCCCCAAAACGGTAGTGGGAGGCCAGCCTGAAATCATAGTGCTCGCGCCGTCTCCAAGATATGGCAATGTTTTCGTTCAGCAACTCCATTCTGGTGAGGAGTGTCAGTACAACTGGTCGGAAGAACGATGCCAGATTTTTCATAATAGTCGCGCAAGACATTAGTCAAAAATTCAGGACCGTTATCTGCCTGCGCCGAACCTGTATACCAAACTGTGTTCGCACCATCTCACAGAACAAAACAATATGTCGAGCAACCTCATATTTAAACTTGATTAGATAAACCCAAACACTGCGACTGAAATCATCAACTTTCGTCAAAAAATAATGTGCTCCACTAAGAGAAGCCACTTGATATCCACCCCATATATCCATGTGAACCAACTGAAAACAATCCGAAGTTTTGATATGACTAGAGGGAAAAGGTAATCTGGTTTGCTTGGCACGAGAACAAGAGTGACAAGGCTGTTGTACTTTGCTACTAGAAATAGAAACCAAACTACTAAGCTGGGACATCTTTGTCGGCGAAGGATGGCCAAGTCGGTTGTGCCACGTTTCCACCGACACCTGTTGCTTGCCATCAACCGTAAAAACCAAATTCTCGTTACCTCCAAATAGCTTCAAGTAGTAAAGACCTTCACGGAGAATCCCCTTCCCAATCACGCTCCTGGAGCGTAAGTCCTGAAGTATACATAAGTCGCGCATAAAGGTTAATGTCACATCATTATCCTTTGTTAACCTGCTGACAGACAGTAAGTTGCAACGAAACTCTGGGACATGTAGAACGCGATCTAGCTTTGTCACCATTAGGAATTCTAACAGGTTGGCTAGTTTGACTAATACCATCACTATTCAACCACTGTGCATCTTAGTGATATGTTCGTTGCAACCAGAATCGATCAACCACTCAGAATCACTGAGAGAAATACCTGCCATATGTGCCGAAGGATCACTGGTTGGTGTAGTGGACCCGAAAAACTTCTTGAGTTGCTCAAGTTGGGACATGGTGAATCCCGGGACAGGACTCGTATCAACTTCTGATTGCGCTGCCTTGGGAGCTCCCTCAGACGAGGTGCGACGCCTTCTGTCTCCCTTTTCAGTTTTATCACTTTGATTTCCTTTGTTGCGAGGTGGCCATCCTATTAGGTCATAACATGCCTCCTTAAAGTGATCAATTTGCCGCAATGGGAGCATTTTGGTCGACTGTCCGACGTTCGACTTCCACTCACACGATCACCATCATTCTATGCCGCAAACGCAGCTACCTCGACAGGAGCCCTTCGCTTTTGAGCTAGCAGCCGCTGCTGCTCATCATTAGAAACAATGTTGAAGGCCTCTGGTAGCGTTGGAGGTGGTTTCATGGCTAAGATCTGACTCTGGACAGCAGCAAAACTCTCATCCAATCCCATCAAAAAATCATACAATCGCGAACGTTCCTCCCTTGCTCGAGTTCTTTGCTCCAAGTTACACTTGCATTGCCCACATACACACGCTTCTGGAGGAGATAAAGACTGGGCCTCCTCCCATAAGGCCTCGATGCGAGTATAGAACGAGGAAACAAAATGTTTCTCTTGCCAAAGCGCGCTAACAAGACGACGCAACTCTTACCCTCTGGTCATGCTACCTTGGCCAAACCGCTCCTTAAGATCAATCCAAATTTCAGGTGCCGTTTGGCATATCGAACACTGCTCCGTATCTCTTTATCCATCGCCATACGAAGCCATCCCTTGACTACAACATCACACCTGTTCCAAGCACGTAATTCCGGATCGTTCTTGGGTTGTGGTATTGTACCATCAACGAACCCAAATTTATTTTTCACGATGAGTGTGTCGGTCATATCAACCACCCATTCACCGTAATTGGTTGAAGTGAGAACATCACCAACATTGAGTTGTCCTCCGCAGTCCGAAGGATGCAAAAAAATAAACTGACATTGAATCAATATGACCTGTAAGTTCGGATTTGACAGTTTCGAACTTCATGTTGTCATTCCCACCAGATCCGTCGCCTTCTGGCTTCTTGGTCTCATCAGTATCACCCATGACGATGACAAATCAAGAAGGATGTAGAAAGCTTATGCATACCTATGCTCTGATGCCATGATAAATCGTAAACGAATCAAGAAGACACACGAGTTTTACGTGGTATCCTCGATCGATTGAGTGACCGAGACCAATTCCTGGAAGAGTTCAGCCTCTCCAACTTTGGTCTTATTAACTTGATAATTGTGTTACAGTGGTCGTATGACCTATACAAGGTCTATATAGGCTAGACCTTTCTGTACTTAGGGTTTTACATGAAGAAGGATACAAAAAAATCTCCCGTAAGTACTCCTTGCCATGCACGTAAAGGACGCCTCAACTAGACAAGCTGACTTGGATTGGGCCTCGAGCGATGACTGGGAGTCTGGGACATGGGCCGCTCGATGTCTCTATCTAATTATTCACGCCAAAAAAAGGAGTCGGGTTGACTCCCACTAAAAAAAAGAGAGAGGTCCAATTCCAACTCCTATCCCCCACTGCTAACTGTTTCCATGGCTGCTCCGGCCCATCTCATACTATATTTTCCTTTTGCCTTGCCCAAGAATAAGCCCTTTTGCATACGTGGCATCAACAAACTTTGGCCCTCACCAACCGCCGCCGTCGGCCGCCGTCAACCCACCCATTTCCAGTTTTTGACTTCTTGAACTGGCTACATCGCTCCACCACCACCAAACGCCGGCGTCCAATTTGTCCGCTTCGTCCATATGAATTATCGTCACTCCTCCTTCGCTACTCACAAAGAACAAAAGCCAGCTGAGCTCCTCCTTAGTTGTTGAAAAAAGCGCCTCTTCGCTCCCTCGACGAGTCCGTACAAATTGAAATTGGCAAAAATTTCGCCAAAGGCCAACACTTCCCCTAATTCCCACCCACCATTTTCCCCCTCTTATATACTTCTCCACCTTCCCGTTTCTCTCCTCCTCCCATCTCCTCCGCCGCCCAATTTCCTTTTCCGTCGAGCCCAACAATGGAAGCCTCCACCCTTTCCCGCATCGGGCTCGCCGGCCTAGCCGTGATGGGTCAGAACTTGGCCCTCAACATCGCCGAGAAAGGCTTCCCTATCTCCGTCTACAACCGCACCACTTCCAAAGTCGACGAAACCCTCCAGCGCGCCCAGAGCGAAGGCCCCTTCCCTCTTTCCGGCCACCACACTCCTCGCGATTTCGTCCTCTCCCTGCAGCGACCCAGATCTGTCATCATCCTGGTCAAAGCAGGGTCCCCAGTTGACCAGACCATCGCCGCACTTTCCGAGCACATGGAGTCCGGCGACTGCATCATCGACGGCGGCAACGAGTGGTACGAGAACACCGAGCGCCGAATTCAGGAGGTGAGCAATCGGGGGATCCTGTATCTGGGTATGGGTGTCTCCGGCGGCGAGGAAGGTGCCCGTAACGGCCCTTCCTTGATGCCAGGTGGGTCTTTCCAGGCTTATAACAACATTAAGGATATCCTAGAGAAAGTAGCTGCTCAGGTTGAGGATGGTCCTTGCGTGACTTATATTGGGGAAGGTGGGGCTGGGAATTTTGTGAAGATGGTTCACAATGGGATTGAGTATGGCGATATGCAGCTCATTTCTGAAGCTTACGATGTGTTGAAGAACGTGGGTGGACTGTCGAATGAGGAGCTTGGTGAGATTTTTGGTGAGTGGAACCGAGGGGAGCTCGAGAGTTTTCTGATTGAGATCACTTCCGACATTTTCAAGGTTAAGGATGATCTTGCCGATGGGGGGTTGGTGGATAAGATTCTGGATAAGACTGGGATGAAGGGTACTGGGAAATGGACGGTTCAGCAGGCTGCTGAGCTCTCCGTTGCTGCACCCACCATTGCTGCTTCATTGGATTGCAGGTACTTGAGTGGGTTGAAGGAAGAGAGGGAGAATGCTGCAGAGATTTTGAGGGAGGCTGGATTGAAGGAGGAAGTTGGAGCTGTGAAGAGTGGCATTGATAAGAAGAGGTTGATTGATGATGTGAGGCAGGCGTTGTATGCTTCCAAGATTTGTAGCTATGCACAAGGGATGAATCTGTTGAGGGCCAAGAGTATCGAGAAAGGCTGGAACTTGAATTTGGGAGAGATGGCCAGGATTTGGAAAGGTGGGTGTATTATCAGGGCAGTGTTCTTGGACAGGATCAAGAAGGCCTACCAGAGGAATCCAAACCTGGCTAGCTTGATTGTTGACCCGGACTTCGCCAGGGAGATGGTGCAGAGGCAAGCAGCCTGGAGAAGAGTTGTGGGAACGGCCATCTCAGCGGGGATTAGTACACCTGGAATGTGTGCTTCTCTTGCTTACTTCGACACTTACAGGCGTGCTAGACTGCCAGCCAATCTTGTTCAGGCTCAGAGGGACTTGTTTGGCGCACACACTTATGAGAGGATCGACCGCCCTGGTGCATTCCATACCGAGTGGACAAAACTTGCTCGCAAGAGCAATTCTGCTGGTGTGCTACTTTGAACTAAAGCTTTTATGCAGAAGACTTGTTTGTGTTTGTTTTGCTTGTTTCGGGGTTTCGATTGGGTTGTTTGAGGAATGTTTGTCTATTTGAATTTAGAAGAAAGCGTATGTTCGCATTGAGGAAAACATTGGCTAGGCATATAAATGACCAGTTATTTTTATTTTTTTTTTTGTACTTTACAGTCGATAAGAAATGCTTGCCTCTTTAGACTTCATTGAGTTTGCAATTTATATGGGAATGGAAATAGTTCCTGTTTCTTTGCCTGTTTCGTTTTGCTTCCCACTTAATCTATTTTCTCAGTAGGAAAAGTAATCGAAAGTGAAGTCCTTCTACTGATACAGAGCAATAAATGGGACTATGTTCGTATACACATATATAACCTTTAAAAGGATTATGGTACAGCGCTCAACGTGGAAGAAGAAGACCGAACAAAAGTTGTGTATGGAAGTTTTACAAGTAGTAGTTCTGTTCCTTCCTATATTCATCGTTCGGCATCCCGGTTTACTTTCCCAGCAGGAGAATGATGGAAAGATGAAATCTTTCTGTTGATACAGAGCACAAAGTGGCAAAAAATGGAAGGCGAAAAGTGAGTGAGAGAGCTATGGGAAGTGGCCAGTTTCAATGGTTGGCTGAGTTCTTGTTACTGCCGCAGATGGCATTTTGCTACGCCTTATCCATACAGTTTAAGAACTAAATCTTCACCAGCGTGTCTTTCCATTACCTGAATCTTCTTCGTCTTCAAAAGCTTCATAGACAACAACAACCCAGATGTGCCACCAGAACTAGTCCTACAATCCCAACCACGATCGCCACCACCATCCATAGATACCAGAGCTTCTTCTCCTTCCTGTGAACCCCTTCTTCTGGAACCACAATAGAGAAATGGCCTTGATCCTCGACATAACAAGCATCCAACTCCCATGTTTCTCTGAGATTGAAGCTCCCATCACTACCGAACACAATGCACTGTGCTCCGGACCTCTTATTGATTCTTCCTCCTGGGACGTTCACAGCAACATGCTTCTCACTTGTGTCGAGATTAACGTTTCTGATCATGTTTCATGCACTGATATTCTACACACAAAAAACCTGGAATCCGACTACTGGAAGAAAAGAATAGCCTTGAACGTTGTAAACTCAGCAGGCAGATTTCCCGATCGCCAGCCTCTTCACGTGAGGCATGGTCATGGTTCTTGGAGGGATCCAGAAGTGGCTGAAGTTGGCGCCAAGGTCCAGAGCCTCCTGCTTCTCAACCTTACGAGTGAGACCTGGATAGCTGATAAATTGGAAGGAAGCAGAGCTTGGTAGAGAGCACCAGTGTGGCGGAGGTATTGGACAACGGTTTGGAAAGCTTAACCTTCAAGTAAAGCATCCAGAGACTGAGCAGTGAGGCCGTCTAAGCTATCTGCTTATGCTGAAAAATATATAGTGGAATTATCAGTAACCAGATGAGATTCAAAACCATGTTTGAAAGCTTTCTGGGTTCTGTAGAACTTTCAGAAATTCAGAAAGACGGAAGCTTTATTGGTGTGGTAGTGTGTATATGAGCTAGCTGAGCATCCGCCCTAATGGATTCCATTGTTTTGCTTTCCTCTTCTGCTATATTTATTCAGCCCCTTAAAAACTATTATGCTCAATAATTCATTCTGTCCCTTTAAAAGCCAACAAGAAGAAGCAGCCATTGCAGTCGCCTTGTTAGTCCGTCGAAAGTCCAGTCAGAAGTTGAGGGATAATCTTAGCCGTCTTTCTTCCAACGGTTAACTGTTAATCAGGGCCGGTAATTGCTCTGCGGCAGCATTTTCATACACGGCGTGACTGGAAAAGATCCCAATGTTCTTTTCGCCATACGAGTACACCTTCATTAGGTGTCAAATGGATAGAGAGATAAATCAAAGTGTTCAGAAGTTTCAACCAAAAGGAAGTGTCCAGAATTATCTGCAGCTACGAAAACACGCATAGAAAGGGAATGGAGATTTGGCAGAGTAATTATCAATTCTGCTACTGCACTAAGTAGATGCATATGGCCATCATTATACGATTGTTGAAGATGAGAAAAGTTACATTATTGCTCTCTCTTTAGAAAGCATGGTTCTTTTTCAACAAAGTGACAATGATGGAACGACAAAAGTAAACACAGTACAAAGGATCCACAACCACGCCGTTGCAGTATAAAAATGAAATGAACAGCAGATGTTGCTTCTTTCTTTAGATGATTGCAGCATTACAGAAAATACAAAGGCTTTAATTCAACGCAGGGAGCTTTTAATTCCATTTCATCATGTTTGGCTACATCTTTGGAGATCAAAAACAGCAAATCGTTGTTAGCCGCCTACCAGAGATTTTCTTACAACAACACAAAGTAGGCCACATAGGCTGGAATCAACAAAGATAGGTAAGACCAGCTGCTCAAATCTACCTAGTTCTTAGCCGAGCACGTAGAAAAACCTGTATGAAGGGAACGGTCAAACCACAAGAGCAATGATCACTTTTTCAAAATTCTCACTGCCTTATGGTCAACTCAGCCCTAAGATGCAGAAAGCCATTGATGAAGAAAGGGCTGTCGTCAGCCATGAATGCGTTCCACGGAACACCAAAGAGGTTCCGGTACCCAACAGCTTTCCCTCCTGTGAAAGTGTAATTCCCCTTATACTTGCTCACAAACTCATCAGTCGGCTTTGACCTAGCAGCAAACTCATAATCAACAGCAAAGCTCACTGATCCCTTTTCCTGCATCCCTAAAAACAGTCCAAAGCAGTGGAAAGAGCTCTGTTGATCCATATTACAGTGAGCAGACAAGAAAAACCCTTGCCCACCAAGGTGAAAGGCTTGAGAGTAAACCCTGCCAGCTGGAAACAAATGTTTGCACTCGTCACGTTTTAGGTCCAGGTAGACCACACATTGCTGACGCGGAAGATCAAACTCCACCACCTTAACCGGTCGGTACTTGTATGATCTCTCCACAAGCCGGCGATAGGGAGCATTGGCCTCTTCTAAAGCAAGAGCACGCTGCCTATATGGGGTCTCGCCTTTGAAAAAGAGAGCATCAAGAACAACCTTGGACGCTACATCATGATCAAAGTCGTTACACGACAGGACCTTCCTCAGCTTTCGGCATGTCATGAATGCAAAACGGATTAATCGGACAAGACGGGTTCCCAGGACATCTCGGCGTTCCTCTAATCTGGGATAGTGTATGCGGGCCCACTTAAGTACGAAATCATAAACAGCATCCTCTGAAGCTACTTGGAGATCATCACTAGCTAATACCGCCTCAATACCAGCTAGCGGCAAGTTAAGAACCTCATCTTGGAACCTAAGAAAGAACACAAGTGTTAAAACATTTTTCTACCATTCCATGGTCAAGAACTGCCGGTTCAACCGATTGAAAAACTCCATGTGAAGAAGCATATATTGAGTAGCACAACCATATTCCATGGTCCTGGTTTAAAGACAGTCGGACTTAGACTTACTTAGATATGTCCTTGTAACGTCCAGCAAGAAATTGCTTTGCAGCATCAGTAAGTGGCTGAACTGCTTCAGCCATTAGCACAGTAGACGGAAGGTCCAAGTAGAGCAACGCGGACTCACTAGTCATAGGCAAGTTTCTAAGTAACCTACTGCAGTATCTCATACACGACACAACTTCAAACTTGTCGGCAGCCATCAACACATCCAACAAAGCAGTAGGGGTTGTTGTAGATAATGTATTGCTATACATAAAATTGAGGAGTTCCATTAGGGCTGCTTCTTCTGCTCAAAGGGGGGCAAATCAACAAACAGAAACATAATGAAAACAATAACCCTTTCCCTTCAAATGCGACGAAAGTAGCCAGCACCCAGAATCACAAGCAAAGAGAAGTTAAATTTACCAGATTCATGTATCCGAAGGGTTACATGGCGTTGATCTGACTCTCTCATCCCATTCGAAAACAACTGCAGGAAAGGACTAAAGGAATTATAGCAGGCAATAATAGCAATTTAAGCACAGACCAGGAATATGGCCCAGTAAATCACCTTGTAGAAGAATGGACTCTTAGCCGCTAATATAGGTGAACTAATGTGTATAGTATTAACTCTAAGAACAGTTGAACAGTCCATGCTCCAGCCAGATTCACTGCCACTAGGGGCATCATCACCTGATAATACAAACGTTCCATCAAATAAGAAGCCCAGGCAACCCCACCTTGCAATATCCTAGGACTTAATAATTGTAAGAACAGAATTCAGGGACAAAAGAAGCACCTTGTTCATTCAAATTCAATCCGCCGTCTGCAGCTGATTCCTCAATCATTGCCACAACTTCTTCATCTTGGTTATCATAAGCCAAAGTTTCCTCTGCATCTGGAACATTCAAGTTAAGTACTTGCTCTGCGCTTTGCCCAAAAACTTCAGCCACTGAAGGAAGGAAACCAAACACGTCTGAATCAGAAACAGCACTTGAGGGATAAAGCTAGATTGGAAAAGAAAAATTTCCCCACAGAAAGCTCCCCAGCAAAAGGACCCTTCCAACAAACACCTTCTCACATCAGTTCCACACCTTAGAACTATGGTATTTAGCATCCACAAGATAAATGAACATGGCAAGTTCGAAACTTTCACCAACAAACAATCTCTGATTCATAGTTTATTAAATCCAGCAGGTTCAACCATCTAAACCGAATCAGTTCCATAAACCACGATCCAGAAATAAGGAAATAAACTGAACACAGAAACAGAACAAAAGACCAAAAAACTTTTCCAAAATCCAGAAACAAGGAACCTTCATTTCAACGGGGAAGAAACGCAGAGGGGTTTATCACAGGAAACTAACCGTTTTCCTTCTTAATCTCCTCCCTTCGACGCTTCCGGTTACGCGCCCACTCGGCTAGGGTGATGCAACCATCACCGTCTGATTTGGTGTCAGGCAAATCGGGAATTATCTCAATCTTAAGGATCCTATCGGAGAAATTCCGATCGTTAAAAGCAAATCCAAAGTCGGAATCGGTGGCAGAGCCACTGTTCCTCGCCGGAGAGAAATCGGAGTCCATCAGCGTCCGGGGTTCGAAGAGGTCGGCACCCAACTCTCTCATCGCAACCCTACCACCACCCCCACGACCTCAGAAATGGAACACCCAATCGCCCCAAACTTTCAGTCCTTCTGCCAAATTTTACAGATTATATGCTTTTTGTTGTTATATATTTGTGGCCTGATTCGAAAACCTAGATAGCAAGGAAGAAAGGACAGAGCGAGATAGATAGAGAGACAGGGGAAGATAGAAAGAAAGATTCAGACAGAGTATTCCAATTTTGTTGTTCTGTTTACAGTTTTTTTAATTATTATTTGTTGCGTGTTTGTTTCCCGAGAAATTTAAGGGCAAAATGCTGCCTCTACTGTTTGTTGGTAGGCGGTCCGGCGGTTTAAGTTTGGGCTCAACCACAGTACGTGAACTGTTGAATTGGGCCCAAAGTCCAATTTCGGGATGGGCTTTGTCAACGGCCGGTCAAACGACTGTGACCGCCGCTGGGCACAAGGCCTACCGACGTCTCTTCTTCTCGCCTTCCGGACACTACACCGTCGGCACAAAACTCGTCGTTCTTCCTTGTACGAAGTGAGTGAAGTTCAGGCAAAGTCAATTCCGAACTGAGGTTCGAGCAACAGTGAGAGGTCGTTTAGATGGATGAATATTCGATTATGGAAACTCGAGCAACAAAAGCTATACAAACAGAACACACATCCATCGCTTCAGCTCCTCTCTAGGGATAATAAATAAAAAAATGTCTCCATTATAGAATCCTTAATCCAACTAGGTTACATGCATTGAATCAGTAAGTTCCAGTTAACTGCAGCTAACAAGTTCACTTGCAATACGTAAACTTATGAACATGTAAGAACCAATCTGCAAGGTAAGTTGAGTCGACAGGTAAGTACTGAAAATACTCATTGCTTGAGGGTCAGTTCTGCTCTGAGATGCAGAATGTCATTGATGAAGAAAGGGCTGTCATCAGCCATGAACGTTTTCCACGGTACTCCAAACAAGTTCCGGTACCCCACAGCCTTCCCTCCGGTGAAAGTATAGTTCCCTTTATACTTGCTGACGAACTCATCGGTTGGCTTAGACCTAGCAGCAAACTCATAGTCAACAGCAAAGCTCACTGATCCTTTCTCTTGCATCCCCAGAAACAGTCCGAAGCAGTGAAAAGAGCTATGTTGGTCCATATTGCAGTGGCCAGACAAGAAAAACCCCTGACCTCCAAGGTTAAATGCTTGTGAATACACCCGGCCAGCAGGAAATAGTTGCTCACATTCCTCGCGTTTGAAATCCAGGTACACTACACACTGTGGCCTAGGAAGATCAAAATCCACCACCTTGATAGGTCGATACTTGTAAGCTCGCTCCACAAGCCGCCGATGGGAGGTGTTCGACTCCTCTGAAGCAAGGGCACGTTGTCTGTACGGCGTCTCACACTTGAAAAACAGAGTATCGAGGACAACCTTGGAGGCAATTTCATGGTCCAAATCATTACAAATCAATACCTTCTTGAGCTTTCGAGATGTCATGAAGGGAAAGCGGATTAGTCTTGCAAGTCTCGTCCCCATGACTTCTCGCCGTTCATCTAATATGGGGTAATGTAGGCGCGCCCACTTAAGCAAGAAATCATACACGGCATCCTCTGAGGCTACCTGGACATCATCACTTGAAAATATTGCCTCAATACCAGCCAACGGCATGTTGAGAACCTCTTCCTGGAACCTAATGGACAATGTGAAGAAGGCATTAAAGATTAGAAGTTTCAAAAATAACTCATGACTTAGAGAATGATGATGAAACATCAGTTTGCAAAGGAACTCACTTCGATATGTCTTTGTATTGGCTGGCAAGATATTGTTTTGCTGCATCAGTCAATGGCTGAACCGCCTCTGCCATTCTAACAGTTGAAGGAAGGTCCAAATACAGGAATGCTGACTCACTGGTCATAGGCAAATTCCGCAGTAACCTACTGCAATGTCTCATACATGATGACACTTCAAACTTGTCAGCTGCCATCAAAACATCCAACAAAGCTGGAGCTGTGGTTGTCGGTAAGGTACCACTGTACATAAAATTCAGGAGTTCCATCAAGGCTGCTTCTTCTGCTCAATACAGGAAAACAGAGAACACAATTAGATCAAATCCTTCCAAAGTAGAGTCATAACTCGTAATAGCATTAGACTGGACGAAAAAATAAAGCATACCAGATTCGTGAATCTGAAGAGTTACATGGCGTTGATCAGACTCTTTCATTCCATTGGAAAACAACTGCACGAGCAAAAAAGAGGAAAACAACAATAAAGAACAATAACCCCCCAAAAAAAATCGAAGAACATTAAGAATGGAGAAAGCTTGCTCACCTTGTAAAAGAATGGGCTCTTTGCAGCTAATATTGGTGAACTGATATGTATAGTACTAACCCTAAGAACAGCTGAGGAGTCCCTGCTCCAGCCCGATTCACTGTCACAAGGCGAATCTACACCTGTACATACAAAAAGACCCATCAAGTAAATGCATCACCAACACATCCTAATCCTTCAGTATGCACGTAGGAAACAATTGCAGCAAACGAGTAGCAGGTAAAATACGCACCTTGCTCGTTCAAAGGCAACACACCACCTGCACCACAATCCTCCATCATAGCAACAGCTTCCTCATCTTGGTTGTCGTACGCCAGAGTTTCCTCTGTCTGTGGAATACTCAAATCTTCCACCAGTTCCACTTCTATTCCCGTAGATTCTGGAGCTTCTGACAACCCAAAATAAAAATACCAAACGTTCCTGAATCAGAAAAGAGTCCGCTGGATGGAAAGAACAACAATTCATACAGAATTTGGCATCGAGGAAACCAATGAGCATTCAAAACCCACATCTTCTTGACCAAGAAACACCTTCTGATCCGCAGATAGGCCCGAAAATCTCACGCGCTACTATGAAACCCTAACAAAGTTAATAATTTCTGCCCGTCCCAGGTACATTCTGAATCAAGAAAGCAGGCGTACCGAGACAAAATGGACACTGTAAACCAAGAAGGCACAAAGATTCACCACCCCTAACACCCTAAACTAGCAATCAAGTAAGCAAATTATTCATTACCAAGACGAGGAGGAGAGGGGAACCAGGAAACCAACCGTTGTCCTTCTTAATCTCCTCGCGCCGACGCTTCCGATCTGTGGCCCACTCCGTCAGGGTGCCGCATCCATCTCCGCCGTCGATTTTGGACTCCGGTACGTCGGGGATGATCTCTAGCTTAAGGATCCTATCGGAGAAATTCTGATCGTTGAAAGCGAAACCGAAGTCGGAATCCGCACCGGAAGCACGTGCCGTCGTCGCGGAGAATTCCGAGTCCATTGGTGTGGAAAGCTAGAAGAGGACGGTGCCGAGCTATTTCATAGGCCGCCACCGCCTCCGCCACCACTGGACCGAACGATTTCGCCGCGGAACTTGAACGATTTGGCGAACTTTTTCTTTGCCTGTGCTTCAGAGTCTGTAATTGGAAAACAAAATCTAGAAAGAGAGACTAGGGAGGGTATTTCCGGCCATGTATGTTTTTAACTGGACCTCACTCGCGGCCCAAGGCCTAATAAGGCAATTCCGAATAGCACAGAAACACAGCAGTCCACCTTAGCATAGGCCTTTGGGCAATTGGGCCCATTTAACTATCGAAAATCCATTAAATATAAAATTGGAAAAAAGTGCGCATCCGGGGAATCGAACCCCGGTCAGTACCGTGGGAGGGTACTATGATACCACTACACTAGATGCGCTTAGATGTTTCCAATCTTTCAATAAGAATGTATTATAAAGTTCAATGAAATTTAAGCGAAGTTAAAAAACAATCACGGTCCCAAATTCAAAATTTTGAAAACTTAAAAGGAAGAAAGAAAAAAGAAATGAAGTGAGTTTAGATGGTATGAGGGTGGTGAAGTTAGGAAATATGGCAAGACAACTCTATAAAGGAGAGGAGATGGTGAGAAAAAGATAAGTGTAAAAAAGAGAGAATTTAGAGAGAACTGTAAAGCTAGAAAGCATTATGTTATTAGCAATCGTAAGGGTTTTCTATTTATTATAGTTGGTTATGATTATTTGAGTGTCATAGCTTTTGTAGCCTCTTTATATTTTAGAGCTTGTGAGGAAGAGAGTGAAGTAGATTTGTGTTCCTTTTGTTGTTAACCGTTTGAAATCTATTAGGCTTGAATCCGGTGGTCTCAGGTTTGAATATCTTAAATAGTACCTAGTTACATAAAGTAAACCTATTTCACCTTTATAAAAAAAAGTTCATATAAGTCCTGTGATATAATAAGAAGACATCATACGCAAATATTGTCTAATGTTTTTCATGTCATGCCTTCTTGTACCTGATCGTGTAGGAATGTCGGTCCCCCACCTCGATCATGATAGTTTTGATCTTGATATCTGGTTGTGCCTCAATTAAGTGCTTAATGGTTGCACCCACTTTCTTTGCTTTAAGTTGGCGGTGATCCTGGAAAATTATGGACGAGAAGCAGTTGTGGTTGTTCTCTACTGTAGGAATTACCCAATCACCCTTTCTCTTCATACTTGCAGCTTGTAGTTCCCACATACAACCCTCTCCAACATTCTTGCATATGACATGTAGTTATTTTTCGTCGGAATATTTTATCCTCCACTCAAAATTCCGCCGCATGGCTTCTTTGTTAAAAGCATCAGCAACAGCGTCCTTCGAAGTGAACGCCATACCCACCTCCAAATTGGTCGTCGGATTATACTGTCACGACCAGAAATGTTGTGACCGTGTTGATCGTCTGAAGAACACTGCCATCTGGTTGTCTTGCCACAAGAGGGGTAAAGGGGGCGACATTAGCGATAAGGCGTTGTCTGCCTGTGCATCGTTTTTGGCCGAGTCGGGATGTGGCTATGAAGGGGATCGTTGCAAGAGAAGGCACAACTTGTCGGAGGCTATTGTTGTCTCCCTGATGAGCCCAAGGCAGGGCGAAACCAGTTGGCATGCGTATGCAAGAGAGGCTGGTCTTGAGGAATGAGTACACCTCAAGACGCCGCACGGACTTCGGAAGTCTATGTCCGTGACAACGGGCACATGGAGAAATTCGGGGGCATCATTTTGACCATATAAAAATTGAGATGGAACCTCTATGTAGTATGGCGTAAATGGCTCACAGAACGCCACCTCGTCGTCCGTATCTTCCTCCCTGCTCACTTATCTCAAATCTTCCTCACTTTCCTCGTCGTTGGAGACGAATAGATATCTCAGTCCAGGAGGATCATCGTGACTAGCACCACCAACATCGTCTTCTCGCTCTTGCGAAGTACTCCTAAATCGAATAGTATTCTCAATGTTAACCCACTCTAGTCCCCAAGCAGCCCATTGAACACCGTCGGGCTCAACGAATGGTGCAGGCTCGACACGTTGCGGGTATTCTTCCATGGTACCCCTCCAACATAACTACCTCCTTCGTAGTTGCTTGAACTACCAAGTACCACCCCATTCGTACCCTCCTGCAAAACTATCATCATAAGAATACTGGTGAGTATGAGTTTCACCGACCACCTCGGTCTCAACATACACCTCTGCAAGCCACATCCTGTTATCACCTAGGAACTGTAAAATCATGGTGATTACGTCATCATCATTTATGACAACTTCTTCGTACATAACCCCTCCCGCACTCATGTTTGGATACCGGTATGTAATTTTACCAACTCTCGTATGTCCGCTCATACAAATCATATCTGCACAAATGTCATGGAGTTCTTGCCAAGTGAATCTAGACTCAATTTTCAACATAGTGGATTCACCATCTTCATAATTGATCCCAATGTCAGAGTTCGTCACCCGACCATTCCACCGAATAAGAATCTAGAACTTCTTAAGGTTACCCATGTCTGCAATTTAATCGAAACATGTAGTATAATTAGTACTTAGGGCTACACAAACATAATCCATAACCAGAAACTATCGCAACTAACTAATCGAAACATGTAGTATAATTAGCATTACTATAACATAAGTATACTAAACAAATTCTTCTAAAACCATAGCTAACTAACATCAATCAACCATAATTAATCAAAATATCTCTACTATAACATACTTTCCAGTAACAGTAATTCGTTAAATACAAACATATAACTACTAAAATATCAAACTAAAACATACCTTAAACTAGAGTTTTTGTAAGATATTGGAAAGGGGTTTGGCAGAAATTGGGAAGGGATTTGGTAGGAATGGATTATGGGTTTTTGGTGTCAGCAGCTACGTGGTAGGGGAGTTTATTTTTTTAACATACAGCCTGCATTCACCGGGTTTGTCTATAGCAGTGAACATTAGGTTGTTGTTACCTACCATTGCTTGAAAACGTGGCAAACGTTCACCATTGTTGAGAGACGCGGTGAATACATCATCGCTATTATCAACGGTGATGTATTCACTGTTGTCTACAACAGTGTGATGGTTCAAAAATTATTCATTGTGTTTATCAACGACGATGATTAGTTCACTCCGGTTAACAACAACTGTGTGATGGTTCAAAACATACCGCCTTTGACAACAACAGTCTTGTTCAAACATGTGTTGATTGAGAAATATTTTAATAACGTATGTATTTTATAATTTTTTTTAAGAACATGTGTATTTAGGAAATAAAACCCTCAAATAAAATACAAAATTATTGATACAATATGTTGAACCAATTCAATACTTGTTATAATCAGTTTGTAGTGACTTGTCAAATCTCGAACAGAAGTTAAAAAAAAAGATTTCGCTCCCCACAAATAATAATTCGTCATATAATCTACTGACAACTGAAAAGATATGAGAAGAACAGATATGAGAAGAACAATTAGCTCTCTGAAAGTACTCTTTTAATAATTACAGAGAATCTTAACCTCATCAGCTGATAATCTAAATCATATATAAAGAATCTAGGAATATGCAATTCTGAAATAGTAGACAACGATTTATATTCTAATCTCGGCGGGAGAGAAGAAAACGGATATTAGTGTTACTAATTCCAATCTGGTTTAGGCTGTTTACACCATCATTTATAACGACGTGCTTACTAAGCTTATAACGCGTTTCGTATTAGTGTTGTAAGTACAATAGCCAGATTCTATTAATCATGGAAGTGATGCATAAACTATGGGTTAATTACTTAAATCGTCACTCAACTATGTAAATTGTAACAAACTCGTCACTGAACTTCCATATGTAACAAACTAGTCACTCAGATTTATCAATCCGTAACAAAAAGGTCACTGTTGCTAACTCTGTCCATTATTCAGTTAACAATGCCCAGTCAGCATGCCAATGAGGCTAGCCACGTCACTCAACCTGCTTAGCTGGAATTTGGAACCCAACCATTAACCTATTCTTACCTGACCATTCTAACCGGTTTAGCCTAAGTTCCAATCGAAAAACTTCAAGAACCATTCCATAAACCCTTAATCTAAGGTGCTTTTCAAATAAAGGTCACTAAACCCTTGATGGAACGTGACCAATGGTCACTGGACTTTGGAGGAGAGTAAAAAAATGGTCATTGAACTATGAGATAAAACTGATAATCCAATACAAGGTAGAGATAAATTGAACTGACAATATTGACCTTGTGCATATCTTGAATGACCCCAAGGGGTTGAATGAAAGCAAATAAAGATATGCTATTAAGTCTTCAACTGTCTAGTTTCACCTGTCAAGTTTCACGTTTGCATGAACTAGGATCCCAATGGCTAAGGACAATGAACCACAGTGATGCCAATACCATTACCAAAATCCATTCCTTTGATGGCTGACATCCCTTACAAAATAACCTTGTCTCTGCATCCTACACAAAATAATCATCTATGTGATGGTTGGTTACAGATGGAGTTGGCATAAAGATCATTGATGTGACCAAAGTACGAAGCTTTCCTACTTTTTATGGGTTTTCGAAGCTTTTCTCCAACGAACAAGAACTCGAACAAAAGATAATGATGGAACACGATCAAATAGATTCCAACTCGTGTGAAAGGCCAATTGGTATATGAAACCAATCAAACAATCACCCACTTGTGAATAAGTCCAATCGCTATTGGGTAGAAGCTCGCCACAACTAGACGCGTTCTCTAGTTGATAAGAGACACGTGAATCTCCTGGAGCATTCTCAACATAAGCTTGCACAAAGAACTAGTTCGTATGAACTTGTAACTTGAAAGTTGATTGGTAATTGAATAATGAGTACAAAATTCATAGGTCTTACACCCTCTATTTATAGAGATCTCAAAAACATAAATCTAACATAAAAGGAATAGGAAAACAAATCCCAAACTAACTAGATAACTTAATACTACTTTAACAAATAAATAAACTACTACATAAACAAATAAACTCCAAATACGCTGCTAGCCGCGCTGTTTCCTTCTCCTGGGCGGAATGGCAATTCCGGTGCTTCCACATTTCCGTAGCCGCTGCGGAACTTGTCTTCACATGATCTCGTCCAAGCTTTGCCTTGTCCTTTTCTTGGTGGGAGAAATAATAATTATCAACCAACCAGACCTAGCAATTATACTTGCCATCTCATGTGTATACACGTCCAGTTCCTTTTG